TATATATATATATATATATATATATATATATATATATATATATATATGTGGTAGATATACCGACAGGTATTTACAATTACGGTTAACGCCTCTAGGGGGAGCTACCTACCTATTTGTATACTGCACTAGCGGGACTTGTTTTGTTAATATAGAAGAAGTAGATCCAGCCACAGGCTAGAGACGTGTTTGTGTTGTTTTGGAGTGTGCATGAATAAACGGCACGAAGCCAAAGAAACAACCAGAGTGTGATAATTGCTACAGCCACCGTAGGATATCACAATATATATATATATATATATATATATGTATATATTTACAATATTTATTGTGCAGGTATAAGGTCTTAGCTGTTACACTGGTAGCCAAGTAATCGACATTTCGTTGTCAAATTCACCTCGTGTTTTTTGTGCAATGACAATAAGTCTAATATATATGGGCTAACACGTAGCCATAGCTAATGTTATCAGAGTTTGCATTGTTGGCTAAAGGCTAACACGTAGACAAATATATATATATATATTTAAGAAAATAAATAAATAAATATATATATATATATATGTGTTGAAATAGGGTATAATATGTCTCCTTAAATTTTGCTCTCTTTGGGCCACTTTTTTGCCCTGTAAGCTCCTGGTAACCTTAATTTCCTGAGGGAGTCTTCCCAAGGGATCAAAAAAGTACTGTCTAAGTCTAAGTCTAATTTTGCTCTCTTTGTGACACTTGTTTGCCCTGTAAGCTGCTGGTAACCTTAATTTCCTGAGGGAGTCTTCCCAATATATTTATATATATGTTGAAATAGGGTATAATATGTCTCCTTTAATTTTGCTCTCTTTGTGCCACTTGTTTGCCCTGTTGGCTGCTGGTAACTCCTGAGGGAGTCTTCCCAAGGGATCAATAAAGTACTGTCTAAGTCTAAGTCTAATTTTGCTCTCTTTGTGCCACTTTTTTGCCCTGTTAGCTGCTGGTAACCTTAATTTCCTGAGGGAGTCTTCCCAAGGGATCAATAAAGTACTGTCTAAGTCTAATTTTGCTCTCTTTGTGCCACTTTTTTGCCCTGTTAGCTGCTGGTAACCTTAATTTCCTGAGGGAGTCTTCCC